TGAATCTACCCATATTCTCTTGTGAGTGCAGCGTGACTGTTAATTGTTCAGTTGCTCAGTTTTGAAGTTTTAATGTGAGTGTTGATGTGTTCCCTAGCAGTTCTGTCATTTCTGCTCCATAGAAATAAAATAATGCATTACAGTGGTTCTCATGACTCTTTAGGGATCATGGTGCTACTGGAGAACAGTGACAAGTTGAAAAATAAAGACACATCATAAGAGGAATTCACAATTTTTCACACATGCTTCTGAAAATTGTGGATGGATTTAAAAAGTTACTTTGCAGCTTAATTTTCATGTAATACCTTCAAAGGGAAAATACAATGCTTTTTATTCACTGGCTGACTCTTTCACCCTGTTCTTTTCAACCCTGTCTCTGGCGAAAATCCAGAGACAGGGCTGTGTTTGCTGAGACTTCTAAAATGATTCTGAATAAATGAGCCACATGTATCAGGACTTTATGGTGTCATTGGCAGTGCAGAATCAGATATGAATCGCAATCACAAAGAACTGTGTAACTTTCACCTGCCTTGACTCAAATGGGTTTTGACACCAAAACAATGCAATACAATTAAAACACCAACTGTGACCTTCAAATTGACACCATCGACCTATTCTTCTAAGATATGGTGTCAACAAAATCATTTTAGTCATTTTAAGTTTAAAAAGATGTAATACCTTCCAATACATTTCGACTGAATGCATTAGATTTCCATTACCCATGTGTGACAAATAAACTGAAAACTCTGTTTAAACTGCCCAGGCAAACAACCATAGGTGTTTCTCCATCAGTTTATGTCTTAATCATTGCTTAACACTCAGTAAACATGTTCTTAGAGTGTGATAATGTGTTTACTTACATGCAACTGTCTCAAGGTTAGTCACTGTTGCTGCTGCATAATTAATAGGGTTAACAAAGGTTAGTGGCCACAAATATATGCACACTAAGATCAGCACATTCTTGTAAAGCAAACCTGTCAGCTTAGAGAGCACTCGGCAGCAGTGGTGACAGCTTTATTTCCATATGCATAAACACTCTCAGAAAAGAAACATGAGATGCAGAATAATAGAAAGTGACTGGTATTAATTAAAGCACCCATATGTATCAGCACTATAATCCCTAACCGCAGCAGTGAGCAGTACATTGGTTCATTAGAAACTCCGGCATGTTTCCATAGCAAACTGAAAAGAAATAACAGAGAGTGGTCTAGGTGATGTTGTGTATTCATTTATTTCAGTCTAAGCAAATTGTTCAGTGCCTACAACAATAGAAGAGTTTATTCAAAAGGCGCTGTGACAACTCGTCTTTGTTGAATCATGACAGCTATGCTTGCACAGACTCGTGTGACTCAGAAATTGAATGCTGTAAACACCTTGGTTCACAACCAAACAATGTTTCCATAATTTGAAAGCCCTGTAAATTGTGATGTTTTCCCACATTGCAAAGTCAAATGTTTACCACATATTTCCTGTGGCAAATAAAGCTTGTCATTGTGATGAAATTATTGATAAATGACTTGCAAGGAAGAGGATATTTTGATTTTTACAGTCACTCTACTCATGCTGGAGTACTGGCAGTAAAATGCTGGAGAGGAGACTAAACAATGAGAGTGGACAGTGCTGTTCGCTGGGGCACAGAGGGTTGAACCCCATCCAACATAAACAGTATCAATGCCATCACTTCTTTTTGCTTTGGCTTGTGGTAATGGTTGCTCTCCCCTGAGCTATTTCATAGATTGTGCCAGTTCTCTCATGTTTATGCATAGGATGGCGGCCCCCTCATTCCCACACCCATCACTCCTCCCTCTTAGTGCTGATGTCTCTGTTTGGTCTGTCTATGCTGCCGAGTGCCACTAGACAGGGTGAGTCATAAGTGGCATGGCAATAGTGTGTTTTGGGAAAGGCCACACAGCAACGGCAGGTGGGATATAGTGTTTAGTGATGACATTTCCCTGCTGTATCAATTCAAAAATCACTTTCACCGAACTGACCACACACAGGGCTGCAGCTGTATACAGGCTCTATTGTTTGTTTTTTTAAATTTATTGTTTTGTCTATAGAAACATAAGACATTCCCAGTGTGTTGTCTTGCAATTACTTCCTTTGTCTGAACAACAAATCTACAAAATAATACTAAACGCTTATATAGGCATGCCAAAATGCTCACACTGAAGCACAAGCAGGTGTAATTGTTTACCATGTTCATAGTTTAGCATGGTAGCATGCAACATTAATTTGTATACAAAAAAAAGCAGCTGAGGCTGATGAGGTCATTACTTTTACAGTTATTTTGTCCTGAACTAAACTTGAAATTTTGACATGATGAGGGTGATAAACAGTCAGGGAAACACTAAAGTGATACAATTCATCCTGAGGAGGACATGAATGTGTGTGCCAAATGTCATGGCAATCCATCTAACTGGTGTTGAGACATTTGATTCAAAACCACAAATGCCAACCTCATGGTGGAGCTAGAGGAAAAGTCAGCGGATCTCCAAGTCATTTGGATTTATTATCCGGAAACCATTAATGTCTGTGCCAAATCTGGTGCCAATTAATGCGATAGAGTAGAAATATCTCACAGGATAAGTCTCTAGCATGGTTACAAACCCAAAGTAGTTCAGCTTGTATTGATAGGAGATAGAGAAGAACTGCAAATATTTACACTGGAAAACCTGGAGCCTACAATTTCCTGTTGGTCAACCAATCAATTAATTGACTGAGCATTATAGAATTACACTCACAATTCTAGGAAAGAGCAAAAAGTACAGGTCCTACTAGTTAAAGGACTAATAATAAATTGTTGGACAAAATGATAAGCCTCGTACACGTTAAAAATGAAGGACAGTGGTACAAGAAGGTTTGGAGGAAAACTCCACAACCCAATGCTTTGTTATGAAGACACAAAAGACAAAATACAAAGCTGCATTATTACAAAACAGTTTGCAATTGCCTTCCAAAATCACCCATATAAGAGTTTTCTGATCCTCTGTAAGATGTTATTTGTCAGAGCCCCTCTAACCTCATAAGAGCACTACAAGAATAATTAATGTGACCGTTTTCTCATCTGCCATCGCTGTGGTTACTGTGAGAAACCAACCACTCTGACATCTTATCTAAAAATAGGTTTTGTGGCAACAAGTCACGCTGCTTCCACCTTTTAATGACCACATGTTGTTATAGCACCTCTTTGCTACATTATTCTGTTGTGGCTCTGCTCTAATTAGCCAACTCACTCATCTCTCTTTTAAAAAATGTGACTAGATTGTTTTCAAAAGGATGGTAAGGGTATAGAAGTGAACTTATGTCACGTTATTGTTGCAATTCCTGCTGCCTGCAAGGGTCCTAGATTACCTAATGTCCATTCAAACGCATCACTACATGTTTACTGAAGCTTAGCTTTGAGTATACCTGTTGGATGTGATAGACAGAGACAGAAAGGGGGATCACTTCACATCCATTGGTAGAGAGGCTCTGCATTGTATGTCACTGACTGCTTTGGCTTTCATCCAGACCTTCCATTATGTCGTCACCAGACCATGGCAAGAAGGGTCTGAGCCACATTCAATGACTGAGGAAATAGGGGCATTTTGATGCCATGCTGAAGTCTCGGTGTGATTTGTAATTCTAACAACGTGAATTGCTGTCCTCAGCTTGGTGATGTTTAGTTGAATCCGGAAACACTCTATTTAAGAGCATTTATCTGTTGATTTGTCTGAAGAAACCCAGTAAGTAATTTCTCTCTTCCAGGAAGGTTGTGCTACAGTATCTTGTTGGTGGGATATGGGACAAAAGTTCATGTGTGCAATTTCAACATTGTGTCATTTCATTAAGAATATAGGTTTCAGAGGTTTCTGTTTTGCACACATAAAGGTCTTTTTTTGTTTTCTTCAGATTTTGACCACACAATGCTAAGAGAGCTAGGTACTAGAATTAAACACAAGGTACAGACTAATGGGATACTAAAATACTGGAAAAGTTTTACCTGATGATGGGGATACAGAGAACAATTCATCGAGAGACATGAATATTTGTATCAAGTATATTTACCATGTATAATGGTGGCTCTATAGAAAATGCCACCAAAGTCATCCAGGAACCATAAATGTCTGTACCAAATTATGTGCCAATCCATGATGTTAGCATATTTAACTGGATATTAATAAATTTGACCCGCTGTTGGTGTGAAATAAAAAATATGGGAATCCCAAAAGTCATTAGGATTCATCTGCTGGGCAGCATGGATATCTGCACCAAATGTAATGCCAATGCATTCATTTCACACACAATTTTAAAAAATAATAGATCACACACACAGTAATGTGGGCTAAATAATTATAAGGATTTTGTCCAAGTGTGGTTTATTTAAGAAAAATGTGTTTATTACATGACTGAACTGCAGTATTTAGCCCTAATGTATTTTTTACAACTCTAGTACAAGTCTATTCACAGGACCCACCTAACAGAAACATACATTTTCATGTGGGCCTTGCTTAATTACAAAATTCCTCGGGTGTCTCCAAAAATAAAAAATACAGATTGATGACTGAGAGATAAATAGATAAATACACAAAAAAATCTAATCAAAATCAATCAATCAATTAATAAATAAATATAACAATAAATAACATTCAAAACATCTTTGGCCAAACTTGGGCCACGTCATTGTCCCCACAGAGTTGATATTGGTCTTGGTAGATGCCTCGGCCAATCAGAGCACAGTATGCCGACTGAATTAACGTAACCTATGGGGTTCTAAAGAACAACACTGGATATGTTGCATGAAATAGCAAGTGAAAGAACAATTATATTGAGGCACTTTTTAAGGATGTTCTAGGAAATGACAACATTTCCATGTGTATGCGTATTCCCCAAGAGGAAACAAAATGTAAGACAAGAAACAACATTCAATTGAAAGGTAATTGAATGGCTGCTTTGCTCATCTAATCATGTTATCATATATTCCCTCGTTTTTTTACAATTTTGGGACTTAGCATGGCACAAGGTACCACATAAAATAGAAAACAGTGAGCTGGAAAAACATGAAAACTAATAACGTGAGGAAAACAATGGTAAAATATTGTGTGTCGCCAACCAAAAGAACATTGTTACATATTTGCTTTTGAGTCTGTGAATAACATCAATGTGTGTTCTCTGTGGTGGTTGAGTCCGACTGAGTTTCTGACTGCTCCCCAAATATCCCTGCCAGTGTCTTAAAGCGGGGTCCCCAGTCATTAAGGTAATCATAGTCCTCCTCAAGGTCTATGGCGAGGGAGTCGATGGAGCTGAGCGACTCGGCCACAGAGCCGTTGCCCTCATAGGCATACGTGGCCAGGGAGTCATAGGGTGGGGCTGAGTTGTCCATGTCATGCTCTTTCAGACGCTGGTTGATGAAATCTCTGATGTCTGCGCTGTCCTGAGAGACTGGCGGCTTTGGACCTCTCTTCATCTCAGGTTTGACGTCTCTGCGGTACAGGTTCTCTTTGACAACCTTGGGATTGCGAAGTGTCCCCATGTCGAATGCGTGTGTGTCCTCTTCCCCGCCTCCCTCATCGTCATAGTGGATCACATTGTCCCGGATGTCCTCTTTGGATGACATGAGGGTTTCCTTTTTCTTCTGCCGCCTCAAGCCCACATAGAGGACCACAATGACTGGGGGAACAAATCCAGAAAATTATGTTAAACACACACACATTACTAAGCCTTAAACACATTTACTGTGAGGGGAAAAAAAAAGATTATATCACCGTACCCTGGTAAGCATAATTTTCGTAATTTGTATGTCAAAGGATGTTATGATATTATGGTTCAAACTTCCAGCTCATGTCATCTGTCACCACCATGAGCTTAGCATTTTTGTTTTTTAGTCAAATGTGCAGACAACTATTGAATGGATTAGCATGAAATTTGTTACAGATATGAATGTCCCTCTCAGCATGAATTGTAATGACTTTAGTGATCCCCTGACATTTCAGCTCCAGCAGATTAAAATGTTCATTTCACAAAGACATTGGTTTAAAGCCCCATATCTGCAAAACTAATAACCCATCAGCTGACCCCATCAGCCTGTGTGCTTGTGTTTAGTGTCAATTACAAAATGCTAGCATGCTTACTTAACTAAGATGGTAAAGATAACAATCAGTTAGCATTAGCATTGTTAGCATGTTGGCATGCTGACTCCGCTCTGCCCCCCGCTCTCGCTCAAGCAGCACCCTGTGGCCTCCCGCAAGAGCAGTCACCTACGTGGTGTCAGGGCGCTCGGGGGTGCACTGCAAGCCACAGTGCTTCCCCGTGCCAGGGTAACAGCAGCAATGCCCCGTAAGTAATTACAAATACCATCAAGCCCCTATCCATTTCAATAAGCCTAGTACAGATAAATTCCTTTTCGTCAGCAGCCAACCGGCTCAGAAGCTCAATCCATTAATTTCAAATCTCAGCATTACGATATTGATGGTTGGAGTAAACTATAGTCCCTCTGTACTTTGCTGTTTGCCAACACGGTTTAAAATGGAGTGCACAATCATTCTTCACATGCGAGGGTGTAAGGTTAAACTCCATTCCTGTCACCGTGTCATTAACATGTTTCTGTTGTACCATGTATAAGAGTCTGTCCTCCGGGAGAGGCGTTGGCCGCAGGCCCCCGGTCACGTTCTGTCTGTTGGTATCCTGGTTTGCGTTGAGTATAGCTTAACCTTTGTTGACCTCTTCTTTATTGAGGCTCAGTGTTAAAGCTTGTCTGGTTTTGCTAATTGTTTCGATACTGGTGGTGGTCTATAGAAATAACAAAAATCCTATTTTTTCAATCAGAACCTCCTGTTTTGTCCCTCAGTGCGTTGCTGCTCGTCCTGGACATTGATGTTCAGTCTCTCGATATTGATGAGTTCTAGACCTTCGGCTCCGGCTTGCGGGCGGCCGCCTTTGTTTGTGCCCCAATATTGAGATGCTGTCTCCGTCGCGGGGCGGTGTCCGTGGCCTGTGTCTACTTGGTGACTTGTTCAAGCTGCGATTTCAATCTATGCTAGCTTTAACAACTCTGCTGTCACAACTGGCGGAGCCAGGCTGGTGAATGAAATCCTTGAAACTACTCATTTTCATGTTTTCACCCAAATGTGGCCCCCATTCAAATGTCTAGACATAACCAATGCCTACTGGTACTTGCTTTTGTGGTTCAAAGCAAATAATGTGTGCTTCCAGTATTACATACTTATAATAGATAGCACAAAAAGTGTAAACACTGTTGGGTAAAATTGTACCACTGAGAATATACCCAAAGAGGTGGTTTACTGCTGTAGCACGCAACCCTTCAGAGGTTGCTTGAGGTTTTACACATTTCAGACACGGTAGTACCATGGCGTGATTTTCAACACATAATGCTACAATAAATTTCCTTCTCTCCCTTTCTCCTGTCAGTGCAGTCTGTCTTCCTCTGTGAAAAATGCAGTACAATATGTTTTCTTCCTCTGGGTTTTCAAAATACAGTTGCATATAGGAGGGAAAGAAATGGCCAGGATGAAACTGAAATCAATCACATGAAAGTCCAATAAATACATTCAGAATGAAAAAAAGCCTTAAATAGGTCGCTTCCTTTCATCCTTGTTGTATCTTAGTTCTTTTCTGTGTCCCTTTACTCCCAAGCGATTTTATCTGCCTGTGTATAGTGTGCCAGCTCCCCCCAGTGGCACCTATGTAGACTTCAACAACAATCTGCTATTATCAGACTTACTGGTTGAACAGAGCTTGTCACTGGATACAGCCAATCCACATCAGTTTGGAAGAAACAGCAATACAGATGAAAGCCTCTGTGCTGGTCTGTTTAATTTACCTCATCATTTCTTCTCACACGACAACTGGGTCATCCTGACAAATCCTGCACAGGAACTAAGTGGCTCTATGGAAATGTTCTCGGTGTGAGTTCTGATTCTCTCTGCCACTTCCCTTTCTCAGAGACAGCATAACAGTTTGGCTTTGGGCTTTGAAGACATTCTTCTCAGATGAAGTGAACACACCGACACAGCTCTGCAGCACACCACTACAATCGCCTGTGTGCCTTTATGTTCCCTCACATATAAAACAATGAAACTGAAGCTGATATTTAACATGAATACATTCATGAAGGTAATGAAAATGATTTAGGAGGAGGCATAACAGGAATTTATCAGTGGATTCCTTGTTGGACCATATATTAGAGAGAGATAGAGGAATGTAAATACAGCTCAATTCAAAGGTCACGGCTACCCTTGACTTCCACTGTAAAATAGGAACTTCTTTAACAACCGACCATCCCATATTCATAATTCAGAAAATGATGCCATAAACCTACATTTACTTCCTCCCCACTATGTAGATGAGTTTGGACATTAATAGCAGAGAATTAAGGAGGAGTTTTACAACCATGACCTTGTGTGAAATGTAAAAAGCTGTAGCCTGGGAAGCAGCCACAGGGCAGCAAGATTGGATTTAGTTTATAGAGCTAAGCGTCCCTCCCTCCAATCTTGAACGTCTCATTGAATGACCAAATTCATATGGGTTCCGTAATTAACTGCAGACACTCCTGGAGAGAAGCCAAACCAGGTCTGACGGTCAGTTTAGCATGTTTGGAGTCGGAATGCAGTCAAAAAGTTCAAGAAATTGCAATCTGGCCGTTTAGATACACATTTATATTTCAGGTGTTAAGCTCAGTGTCTGAAATTGATCCTATGTCAATGTACACTTTACTTTGTCCAACCCAGGAAATCTGTGGTGGCTTATTCGAGTTGACATTAAAGTATGGACACTTCAACAACATATCAGAGAGTTGAAGCTCATACATTTTACTTGTAATGGTTGCAATCTGCAACTTCCCCGCATGATGCCACTATGTCCAACAAGCTGGTCCTTTTTAAACTGTGAAAAATCCTGCTGGACCCAAGAGCAAAGTTACCTTGTGCTAAAGTTAGATCAGGGCTGCAGCACTAAAGCAATACATCAAACAACTTCCTGTTCCCTTTATAATTATCAATGATACTTTGCTAAAATGAAGAATGTTTATAAGCCAGAAGACAACAGGTCTCACCTAACAAGATGATGATACATAGCAGGATGGCAATCAGAGCTCCTGTGCTGAGACCCACAGGGAGAAAGATGGCCTCTGCGCTGCAAGTTAGCAGGGAACCATCAGATTTGCAGCCACAAACACGGATAGTCAGGGTGCCTGTGCTGCTCTTCGGTGGGTAGCCATTATCTTCAATCACAACAGGGAGGAGGTAAATCTCCTGCAAACGCCTTCTAAAGCCACTCCGCTTCGTCACAATCCCAGCTGTGTTGTCTAGAAGAAGGGAAAAAAGGATCATTTTGCAATCAGCCATCAAAAGCCAAACAAACAAACCAACAAAAAATAAAAAGTAAATCATCAAAACAGTCAATGGTTTTTATTGAAATAGTATGTGGTTTTTCGATTAAAAGAATCTACCAAACTTGTATGGAAAGGCCCGAAGTAGTGCAGCAAGTGTCTTTTTCTTGATCTATACAGGTTAGATGGTGTTCTGACCAAGGCAAAAGAAAATATTCCACCCAGTATAACCTCACATCAATCTGACAATCCTCTGAGCTACATTACAAGTCTGGAGGTCGAAATATGAGAAGATAGATACAACTTTTCAATGTCTGATAACTCTTTATGTTTGATATCAAATCCACTCTGAATGTGATGAGAAACTGCGGTGTATCAAAGAGTTGTCTTATCAAAGCTCTCGCCATTTTACCCCACTTACTTTAAAAGCTGATAGAGCCTAACCACACCCAGTACATCATTCCCTGAAACACTGCAAAGCGTTTCCTGTCTACCTGCACCGTGAGTACTATTGGGATCTGTTGTTATTTTGTTATCTCTTAGTGCAGGCAGCATCACTCCAGAGAAACAGCAGATTAGCAATGAGAGATAATAGATCAAAAAAAGAAAAACACACACACACACAAAGGTAACAACTTGGGAAGACAGCCGGAGGTGTGAGGATGGCGAGTGGAATAGAGGTCGACAGTATATACGAAGGAGAGGTAACGTGTCAGGTTGGACCTGCCTGGTTCTGTCTGCTACAGCTAGACTGTCTGACCCCTGTCAAGCCGGGTTTGTTCCACTGACGAAGCCTGGCACTTTTTCTTGACAGGAGGTCAGGCATTTTAGCACACCTTGCATGTTGTGCACAACTGTGATTTTGTTTGCGCTCCCTCTCCCCCTCTCTTGGTGAACCTGTCCGCAGTGCCTGTGGTGTTTGTATTTTCTGTCCCTGCCTATCAGATCTCACTTTGTATCTGGAGAGCGTGCTAGCAGGGCCTTTGGTGGACAGGAAGCTGCAAGACGGTGTGTCCAAAAGGTAAAACTGGATCAGAGGTTCGGACCTGGGCTTGTCAAGGATGGTGAATGCATTCGTTTCCTTGGCCTCATCCTGCCATGCCCTACTTTTCATTACCCGTCTTCCTGGTTAGACTTCAAAGGGCTCGGCCAGTGCACACTACAAAGTGTCATATATGGCCTTATCGTAAGATAACGTCTGACTGCATGTGATTTAAGTTATTTTTAGCACAGAGACCACTATAAGATTTGAGTAACACACAAGCAGATAACTGATCTTTAGAGTGTGGTTGTCCCTATTTCAAATTAGAGATTGGATGGTAAATATTAAGATTTTAATATTTTAAAGCTGCTTGTGTAATCTCACAAATGACCCCTTTTTCTTTCATGAAAAAGTCTTCAGTTTTACCATCTGCTTTCTTTTTAAGAAATTGTAATTAATTGCAGGCGCCATTTGTTTGTCAGCTGTAAAGAACAGCTTTTCATCGCTGACAGTGATGTGGTTTCCATGCTTTAGAAGAGGAAGCTGCATACATTTGTGATATCTCCTGATGCTATATAGTGAGAAATCAATCAGCTGTATTGCACTGTACTGATTTTTCATGTCACCAAACGGAGGTGTTGTCGAAATGCACTTACTTCCAAAGTCGCGGATGGTGAAATTCTTGTTTTTCATTTCTTCTTTTGGTGATTTGAAAGAGAATTGTTGTCCAGCAGTCGGTAGATCCTGATCTTTTGCACTGAATGTTTGAATCACCTGTTTAAAAAGAAAATTAAAAACATGATTATACCTATTATAAAATGAAGGGCTTTCTTGGTGTACTATGGTTTCAAATGACATTTACTAACTTTAAAGCTGCAGTAGGTAACTTTTATAAAAAAAAATGTTTTGTCATATTTGCTGAATTTTTTACTGTTATCAGAATCAGAATCAGAAATACTTTAATAATCCCCGTG